TAGAAAGGCACGGTATCGTAGCTGCCAGAAGTTCAGAAGCCAGGTTTCAAGTCGTCTCGCCGACACACTGCCTGACTTGAACTGAGAGTGCGCCAATCTTCTGAAGGCCGTGCTGGTTATTGCGCTTGTGGCGCAGTGCTGCAGGACGTCGGGACGAGATCACGGACTGTGGTCGGCGAGTCTCCTTCTGAGACGCTCTCTTGAAAGCAGGCTCGCGGGCGAGTCCACGGATTGGTTCTTGGTAGCGTGCCACTGTTGATCCTAGCATCTGGGTAGGCTCTGCAAGGCTTTGCGCAGTTCGGTTGAGGGCCTCATGCACGTACCCCAAACAAAGCCGCAGCACCAGCCAAAACCGGCGTCATAAGAGGCTTGTTCATCCAAGAGAGTTCATCCAGTTGATCCCAGCTTCCGAAGGACTTGCCAATTGGTTTGTTCCTCCAAGTAAGCTCGCGGGTTCTTGCCGATACAGGCACGACAGCAAACCCGCCGGAGGACGAGCGCTGAATGCCGGCAGAGCGCAGTCTTGACGCGAAAGACAAGCGCATGGCCTTCTTTCAGAACTGGTCCTTGGGAGTTCTGTGCTCCGCTGAACCGGGCACCATGGTACGAAGATAGCCCGTTGGTGTCACGTTGAGGCCGGCAGACTTGCTCGTTCGCCGTTCGCCGAGGCTTGAAAGTGAGTCCGGGACTCTGTGGATCTTCGCCGCACCTAGACCTAGCGCATGGGCAGGCTCTATAACTTTTGCAGTCCAGCCGATGGCTGTGTGCCCATGCCACCGACCGTTACCCTTCCGTGCAGGCGTGTTCAAGCAAGATTCCCGAAACCGAGCGCTGACGGCTTGAGTTGAAAGTGTCTGTAGTCTGTAGGGCTAGGAATTTCCGCTCTTTGACTGTCCCGAGCGCTTTCTTGACGGTCTTGGGACTGCGGAAAGTGCCAGGAGTCAAAAACCGGATTCCAAAGCTTCTGTCCCACATCCGCCGGGGCGTGTCCCGGAATTTGGGTTGGTGGCCTGGGGTCTCCTGCCAGATTTCTCCTGCGACGGACTCCTCCATCTGAATAATCTCCTTGCTTTGAGGGCGACTTTGAACAAATCACGGGGTCGACGGCCGCAAGCAAAAAATGCCAGCGTGAAAAGCGTCTCAACGAATTGACAAGAGCCTAGTCCAAACTCCTGCGTGCATTGCTGGTCTTTGTGTTTGCGGCTCGGTCCTGAAAGGCAAGAGGACGAGCTCACAGAGCGCGATTTCTTGGAAATCCAATGCAATACGAGCTAGACTGCTAGACGCGCTAAGCAGGCTTTGTCAAAGCTTGCTGGATCGCAGGGTCTCAGGTCGGTTCAGCGGCATATTTCATTGAAGTCTCGGCAATCTTCGGGGGGCTGTGCTGGTCCTTGAGCTTGTTTTCTGGTTGAAGACATCAGGGGGTCGCGGAATGCCCTCGGCGACGCTCCTTCTGAGACGGAAACGTTGAAAGGTGCCTTCTTTGACGATGATTGGCCGACGGCGTCACCTCGAGGCGTGGCCCAGTACTGAAGCCTGCTTTCAGCCATGGGGGTGTCTTGCAATCCTGGGCACCGTGTGTTGAAGATGGCCCCATGCTTTCAATCTGTCGGGACTCAAAGCGCTCAGGCTTAGCCTGGCACGCCCGGCAACTTTGTGCTTTTGCGCGGTAGATCATAGACTGGCCGGACCAGTCACGCAGACATGGATCGGCTATGCTCGGCTAGTTCATTCATTTCGGCAGGTTTCGTCGCCACGGAATGTCGATGCCACACATCTTGCAACATCGATGGTTTACGTTCACAGCGAAGTTATCTCACCTGATTTGAAATGAAAGTCCATTCAAGCATCATGCTCATCCTGAGTTCGACGCTCTGTCGAAACGCGCATTGTTGGACGATTGGTCGGCGGCATCAGCTCGAGGCCCCAGCTTGCGGGCAAGTCCGAAGTTTCGCTTTGGTAGCGGCACGGACTCGTGCAGTCTAGCTGAGGGCCTGGGGAGAAGGTGCCCAAAACAAAGTCGCAGAACCAGCCGCGGCCCGCCTCATAAGATCTCGCCGAGAGTTGCCGGCACAGGCGCGACGAAGAGGCACCTCGAAACGGAGGGCTGAATGCCGGGGCTGCTTGTTGATCCAGTCATGAAACGAAAGACGACATCGACGATGTGGTCTGCTATCAGCGATGCTCCTCGAGAGTTCTGCAATCTATTGAACTGGGCACTGTTTTTTGAAGATGGCCCGGTGGTGTCGCCTTGAGAACTGCATGCTTTCTCGTACGCCGACGCTTGGGGGTGAGAGCAGGAATGGGATGTTGCACTTGCTGCTGTGAGTCTTACAGGCCTAGTGTACGAGCAGGCTCTGCACCTTTGGCAGTCCAGCTTGACCCATGCAAACTTGGAACCTCGCAGGGACGACGAAAAGCCCATTGAAATCGAGTGCATCCAGCGCACATCTGGAAGCTTTTTAGTTTGGGATTGAGCAGGGCTTGTAGGCAGGAGCAAGCCGTGGGATCTCTCTCATGGGCCTTCTTCTGCAAGTCCGGGATCCTATGCTGTCTCGGTCCAGAAAAGGACAGGATCGCAGCTGGAAGTTAGGAAGCTGGGTCTCAGGTCGGTTCAGCGGCATATTTCATTGAAGTCTCGGCAATCTTCGGGGGGCTGTGCTGGTCCTTGAGCTTGTTTTCTGGTTGAAGACATCAGGGGGTCGCGGGATGGCCTCGGCGACGCTCCTTCTGAGACGGAAACGTTGAAAGGTGCCTTCTTTGACGATGATTGGCCGACGGCGTCACCTCGAGGCCCAGGCTTACGCGGGCGAGTCCGGCGATAGAATCTTCAGGGCGAGTGTAGCCGAAGGCCTGGGGGCCGTGCCCGAACAGAGTCATAGCACCAGCCACGCGCAGCCACGTAGACATCCAAGTAAGCTCGCTAGTTGATCCAAGTCCAAGCTTCCGGACGAATTGCCGGCCGTTGCACTTGTGGCCCTGAACCGGTATGCGATCCGAAATCCTTCGTCTCTATGAGGATGTAAGCTGCAGACGCGGATTGCCAAGCGCAGCATGCGCAGCGGACTGGGCTGAGAAGATCAGGGCCTGTCCGATGCGGCCGGGCCGACGCGCTGCGTCCTTGCTTGCGAAGCTGCTTGTGATTCCATCGTACTGACGACCCTGTCCCACTATCTCACCGACAAGACACCTGTGAAATAAAAGTCAACCAGCCGTCGGGTGGCGGTGGTCGCTGTACGTATGACCTACACTGAAAGACGTCAGGTCACGGAATGCAGTTGGTGATACGCTCTGCTGCTGAAGGCTCGGTTTTGACGGCGATGAGCCGGGGCCCAAGCTTGCAGGCGAGTCCGGGGATTTGTTCGGCTTGCGCAGTTCGGTTGAGGGCCTCATGCACGTACCCCAAACAAAGCCGCAGCACCAGCCAAAGCCGGGTTCATAAGAGGCTTGTTCATCCAAGAGAGTTCATCCAGTTGATCCCAGCTTGCAAAGGACTTGCCAATCATGCTTGCGGCCGGGTCTTGAAAGGCGTCGCACACGAACTGCAGGTCTGTCAGCCCGCATTGGGTGTCCAAGCTGCAGAGGGCGACTCTAGATCCGCGCAACGGACTGGGCTCGCAAGCGGCCTGGCCGACGCCTCGTTTCCTTGCTCGGGAGCCTCTCGTGAGTCCAGTGCTCTACTGACAGTGACGTGGACGCTGTCCCGCGAGGATATGCCGACGGCATCTCCTTGCGGCCAGACTTCTCCTAACCTAGCCGCCTTCCCCAGCTTCTGCGTCGGTTTTCCAGTCCTGGCATGATGGCAAGCACGGCTAGGCTGCTAAGCGCTGCATGGTGCTGGGAACGCCGTAGCTGGCGGGCGCTGCCTGCCGCGCCTGCCTTTGCTGCCGTGGACTCTGCCGCTCCGACTGCATTGTCCGGCTTCGAGTGCCGATACACCGCAGGCCTGTCTTGCCATGTCAAGGCACGCCGCAAGCTTGCGAGCTCGCCCGGCATCGCGGACGCTGGGACAACGAAGGACCATTGAAACCGACCGCACCCCGGACACCTCTTGGGGCTCCTTTCCAGACGCGCAAGCTGTGGGAAGTCAGTTCTCTTTGACGGCTCCTAGGGCCTTCTGCTGCAAGTCCTGGAGTCTGAAACCAGCTTCCTCTAGAAAGGCACAGCATCGCGGCTGCCAGAAGTTCAGAAGCTAGGTGTCAAGTCGTCTCGCCGACACACTGCCTGACTTGAACTGAAAGCGCGCCAATCTTCTGAAGGGCGTGCTGCTTGCTTGCGTTTTCCAGCTTCGATTGCGTTGACGTCGCGGCAAAACGTCGAATCAGAGACCAGAGACGTCGAATCAGAAACCAAAAGCGTCGAATCAGAGACCAGTCTCCGGCTGGTTTCGGCTGGTGCCGGAGACTGGTCTCTGATTCCTTCTCCTGATTCCGGGCCCTGGTCTCTGATTCGACCCTTCCTGGTCTCTGATTCGACCCTTCTGGTCTCTGATTCCGTTCCCCTGATTCGGCGCCAGGTCGAGGCCCAGGCTTACACGGGCAAGCCCGGTGACAGGCTCATGCAAAGTTCAGTCGAGGGCCTGGGGTCTTTGTCCCAAAAAAAGCACCAGGCCCGGCCTCATCAGAGACTGGTTT